GGGGGCGACATGCTCTCTGCTGGTAACGACGGAGGCAGCGGGTGGTACGGATCTGGCCATAAACTAGGAATTCGCATATCATCGGGGAAGTCTAGAAGCTCCAGATCGGATGGGAAGGAGCGTGTAGCTATAGTCTCAGGACGGCAAGGTACGGTCCATGGGCATAGGTCAAGGTCATCAGCCAATACAGGAGAAGGGAAGTCCGAATTCATGTCCATAAATCGTGCGGTCAGTAGGCTAGAAGACTCGGCTGATGGTGGAGCTGGTCATACTGTCTGGCCGGCAGGGGGCGTGTGCTTAGCCCTGTATGCCGGGTCGCCGTAGGGACACTGCGTGACCGGGTGCTCCTGTCGTGATTGTCGCATGTTGATGCAAGGCCGGCAGAAGTGGTAAACGGTTTGGCCAGTGCTGTTCCTATGTGCCCGTTTAGCATCAGGACTGGCTTCACATGCCCCCTTGTTATAATCTTTGCATGTCATAGGCAGGTATCTTCTCTGAGATTGATTCGAACTGTTTGATCCACCCTTGTGCTCGAACGGCCGCCGTAAATGCTGTGATTTCATCGCCTGGACCTTTTTCATGAATTTCCTGTCCGTCCAGTGCAGCTCCTTTCTCTCTACCATCCCAAAGATGTGAGCGTTGAAGTCAAGGATGGACTTGTACCCGAACTCTGGTACCTCAAGCATGAGGAATCTCAGGATCTTCTGGCGTTGTTTACGCTCAGCCCTCGACACATCAGCTGATATAATGATATCCATAGAGCCGTACAGAAACTGGTGCCATTCCATATCATGGTACTTCACAGCCCCTGCCTCCGTGACGGGCAGGCGTTCTTGCGGATATATGACTCGGCATTTCACACTATCTGTTGCCTTTCTATGTAAGCCGCTCTTCATCGACTTCTTCTTCTTACTAGATCGAGAGCGAGAAGGCTTACCTCCATAACTCGTGTCAGAAGACACACTCCTGTCCGAAGATGAGGACGTAGACGAGAACTCCGGGGAGCTGTGCAACTTCCGAGACGGGCGTCGGGACCTGTGGGAGGGGGGCGGAGAGCTATTGGCACGCTTCGTGACGTCACCTGCCATCTTGCGAAAATCTCTCAGCACGGCGGCCGAAATCCTCGATAAACGCTGCGAGGAGGGAGAAGACGACCTCTTGCGACCTGAAGACTGCCGTGCCAGCGGTTCTTTGGGCGTCGTACGGTCGTCCTTTGTGCGCTGGATGTCCAGCTTCAGTTCCTCCAAGTCTTTGCTCATGTTGTGGAGCTCACGCTCCATGTGCTCCTGGAGTCCGACCGACTGTGACGCGAAGAATGGGCCGACAGCGCGTCGGAGTCATGAGAGAAGTCGTCAGCCAAGTCCGGGTCGTCCGTGAAGTCGCTGAATCGGACTGGTTTACGGGTCTTACGCTTTCCAGCGCCCCACATGGTTCGGAAGACAGAAGATGGCTAAAGGACCGAAAATGGCTGCTCCCTTTCGGTTGGAAATCGAACAGGCTAATGCGCATGCGCCCCTGGCTTCCCCTTAGAGGGGGGCGACCCAACTCCTCAATCTCCAGTGCAATCCCCGGGAATTACGCCTATTGCGCAATCCCAACATGAATGAATGAATGAATTTATTTGCTTCCGAAGGGACAAGTCCTTCTCACTCTAGTTCCAGAAGTCACTTTACATGATGTACTAGCTTGGTGACTGTTCTCTATGACCGTCTTCGGTGTGTTTCAGCCCTACTCGTACTTTTTTGGGCACTCAATCTTTTCAATGTTCTAACACATTTACAGCTATCCCCCGGTGTGTGGAGCTACGAACAGAGCAGTATAATGAACAATAGTGTGTATGCGAGAACATATTGTTAATTTGTAACACCAAAAAAGTCAGGGACTTTGTAGCCTGGGTGGCAGACCCATAGCACACTGGACACAAAGTATCTCAGTGAGATACTTTGTGTCTATTATTCATGCAAAATAACGTAAGTAGCATGTTAGCAAAAACTGTTTCATTTCTAGTACAACTACAATGATTTTATTATTTTTCTGACACTTATATGCTGTATACTACTATACATTTAACGTCTTGACATACATAAATTTTGGGGGCACTGACACACCCACAGAAAAATATGCACAGCTCCAGATATGGGTGCACTAAACTGAGTATTTCAAGCCCTGATATACATTTGTAGTAGATACATACTACCTTGTGTTTTTGGTTTTCAGCCTGGTAGAATGGTATTAATTAAGACAGCAACATGATAATTTCACGGTAACAGGCTCCATTTATACATTCCAGGGGTCAAAGCAGGGGGCAAGATAAGGAACTTTTGCTGACAGCAAGAGATTCACGAAATTGTGCATTCCTCAGACTACAAATCCAGCTAAGTTTTACTAGTAAGAGTTCAGTCATATTACATACATTGTACATGCTTGACATATTTTTTTAACAATTAAACAATTCAAGCCAAAACTCAGCAGCCTACAGCACTTGGCAGCTAACCAATAAGGTACAAAGGATTATCAGTCATGACAAACCAAGACATGACTGACCATTATAAAAAAAAATATGCGGTGGAATCAATACACTGTATATGTCAAAACATTATATATCAGTCCATTGCATAGGCGTCTTTCTACTGTCTACTTTTTTACTTGATTATTGATATCGATTTCACTAAACAACATTGAGATCTTACATGGAAAATCCAACAAAGAAGTTACATCTTAAAAAAACTACGCTGCGTCAAAGGGGTTATGTAACTCAGTTTTATATGTAACTTTTATATAAGTTTCTAAGCATCTTGACGGAGGAGAGTTGCTCACAGCAGTTTTGAGTGAGAGAAATGTTGAGAAGACACCATGCTTTAATTGGTTGCAGTGTCGAAGGGAGGGGTGCATAGCTCAGGATTAAACATGGTGCTTCATAACCCCAAATGTAAGCTAAAAGTCTAATGTTCCTGGTATTGTGTAGTATTTAAATTGAAAAAAAAGGAGTCCCATTCGAATGCCTATCTTCTAACCGTTTGGCCTGGGGTCCAAACCCATAAGACGTGTCAGTTACCGGTTATTATTATTATTAATTATGCACTTGAAGCTGTGGAGTCCACTGTAACTCTTGTTCACAGTGGCTGTGACTGTGAGTTGTAATGTCAAGGGAAGTTGGCCAACACTAATAGTATACTAAAGTACAACATTCTGGTGGCCAGGGGATTGGAACACTCCTACCATGAAATTAAATACATTTGTACCCACAAACATGATCCCTTTTACTGTAAACCATGTAATTAACCTGTGACTGTAAGCTAATAGTCTTACTAGCTGGATGTACATCTTGGGGGTGGAGATGTACTTACACTTGAAATCCGAAATCAATTGGTCCAGGAAATGGAGAAATAAATGCCATTGTGTAGAGTTTTATGAAGTGTATTAAGCCTAAAAAAGCTGGATTAAGTGGCACCTGGCCTGTACATTTGTAGTCCCTAAAGTATCCTTTTTTCTCTTAAAATTTAAAGGTCAAAGTTTGGAGATTTTCGTCTAGGTTTGGACTAGAAGGAGCAGGCAGAGTCTAGCCTTCTCTATTGTGGTCAAGTTTAAAATTTGTTTATTTCTCCCATTTTAGAGTGTAGGGTTGATGATGGGGTAGGGTCATGCCATGACCATCTGCACGCAGTACAAACAAATAGTGGCAAATGACAAATTAATATGAGAAATGTGTGAGATACAATCTGGAAGCATGGGGAATTTTTATGGCACCTTGGGGCAAAAAACCTCTACAAAAAGCCTGGAGGCAGTGGAACCAGCCTCATTCTATCAAAATGTCTTCAACAAGTCACAAGTCCGAGAGCCACAATGCTGGTAAGTCTTGTTCTCTTACATTTATCTTATACTATTATACTATTCCCTTATCTTGTAGTACATATTAAATTTAAATGTTTGACCAGGAGAATTCAATGTACAATATTTGGATAAGTCATGTCTGAGAATTTTTGGAGCTATGTGGAAGGTCACATTATTTTGTAAATCTTGCAGCTTGGATGGCGAGGCTAGTTCCTGTGCGAATAATAGTTGTGATCAATGTGATATTTTTCTTGGGAATTGAGGGAACTTCATTTTGTGGATTGCAACTAGCCTGATACTGTGTCTGACTAACTCCTGTGTCTTCTGATTTTACAGAAAGCTGTTTTGATGAAAGTGCGTGGGTGGAAGAGATGGTGGATCAGTAAGACAAAAGACAAGACAACGAGGCAAGTCTTTTAAAAATGTTATCACGATTGGATGATAAGTCTTTTGTAAGCTAACACATACAGGACATCGTAATGGCACAGACTGGTGAATGGCTCAGAATTTAAGAGGTGCCTGGTTTGTATCTTGCCATGTCACTATCTTAGCCCTTGGATTATTCACTTCAAATCACCCGGATAGAGGCTTGGCAAACTGTGCACACAGGATAACATTGAGCCTAGTGGCTGTGGCTCTGGCACCCAGGCTAGTCCTCACTATGACTCCAGGAAGATTGTCACTCTAAATCCACATGTGATGGAACAAACAAACAAATCAAAATGGCAAAGTGGTGTTCATGAAGTGAGAAGTATGACATTTTAACTGACTAAAAGTTGATTTTTAGGGTCGAAAAATCAATGAACGTTTTTTTTCTCAGGCAAACCTCCTTTATTTTTTAGGAAACCATCTAACTTGATGATTACCAAAAAATGACAGCTTAATTTCCACAGTAGGTTACTGAAAATGTATGGGCATTAATGAGATATATGAAAACATGCAATTTTTTTTGGTGCAGCAAAATAACTGGAAATTTAGAATGGGCGGGGTGCATGATAAATCTTGTACTCATGACATCACCTCAAAAGCCATTAGTTTAGGCATCAATATCTATGGAAGTACTTCTGTCCACCCATTATATACACATGTACTGGTACATGTACACGTATCGAGCACGGGAACATATCTAAGTGTACTAGTGTATAGAAGTAGCAAAAACATAACTTTGGCAAAATCTCAAGGAGGGGTAGAATATTTGAGTCTGGTGACACCAGTGAGGAAGGGCAATATTTCCTTTGGATGCACATGATTTCTACTTAACTTCCAACGATTATGTTTACGGTGCCCAGGAAAGGAGCAAGCTTACTTGATTAGAAGAGGGCCTTTGTTTGCTATCTGGCTTCAACAGGCAGCAAACTATTGTCGCAGTTAAATTGCTAAATTTAGGCTGCTTTATAAAGTGTATGGAGCATAAGCCTCGCATACAAGACATGACTTTTTAGACTTTTAGATCTAGATCAAGAGTGTGAGAGCGGGTTTTTTTCAACACTGCTAAGCTAAACTAAAAATCATAATGCATAAACAATGCCTTTGCCCACTCCAGGCCAGAGTTAATGTTGCTGTAGACCAGCAGCAACCTGCATTCTCTTTCATTTACCGATCACAACAAATAAATAACTACTATAGTATACATTTTGAATCATCAGGAGGACGATGCGGAGACAGAAGAGTACAAGAAGGAGATGGAGTAGGAGAGGAAGTGGGGAGAGGAGAACAGGATCCTCAACAAGCTGGAGCTGCTCTGCGACCACCCTGACCCAGTGACAAGAGCCTGGGCCAAGGTAAAGTGGAGGCAGGCAGTAGTAGAATTTAAACGTATGTTTATCATTTCCTTTTCATCCCAATCCCCATTACATTGGGGATGAGACAAGAGTTACACGACCTCATACTTTCGCCAAATGATGTTAACCCTTTCGGTTGACAAATTATACTATCTTAAGAAGGAAGTGATTGGCGTAGCAGATAGTGACAGATAATTATAATCAGAGATCCATTGTAAGTCCTATGGTTGGCTGTCAGATAATTTCAAGGATATCACTTCTTGTCCAAGATACAATGGTCTAGCCCTCCTAATGCTAAATGTATGTTTCTTCTTCACAGGCTGTCGTGAGGAGGGGTTGGGCTTTCTGTCCTTGAAACTGCAGGACTTGCAGCTGGAGAACTGACCTACCGGTATCACTTATCTGTCCCTTCAATCTGCCTAGTGCTCTGTCCCAAAAACAACAGGCCAAAGTAAAATATTTACAGTTTTCTGTCTCCTGGTTCATTGTAGTAAATTTGTGCTTCAGTGTGCCGAGCATTCAACTGGTTCTCTTTATGTTAGCCAGGGTTTGTTTTTCTGATCATACATCATAGCTGCTTTGTTTCATATTTTGTACCTTCATTTTTTTTCAAACTCTATAAATATTCACAATGTTACATTAAAAAGAGGTACATAGTTGACATACATGTACAATCGTGTGGGATGAAACATAACAATCAAGGACAGTTTTTTTAAGGTAACGTTATCTGGGGATTGTCTATATATAATGATATAACATAAAAAGTTCCCATTGTTCATTGTGTTCTACTTCTATAATTTGATTTAGTCTGTGCTTGAAAATTGAGAGTTTTGGTTTGCAATTTGTTATGAAGCATGTGTATATACAATACTTAGCGGTAAGAAGACAGAGTGCAAGTGCACCAACATGGCTAGGGTTATCAATTATACCGTAAATGATCATCTTCTCGTCTACGATTAGGTCTCGTTTGGTACATCGTTTCCACCAGTAACACTAACAGAACTCTTTCCAAAAGATTTGTTTCTTTACAGTGCAAAAATAAATGTTCGATAGTGTGCTTTATGATCTGTGCAATTGTTACATTGATCCGTTTGTACCAGATTTGCTTTTCTTAGCCAACTATTTGTAGCCAGGTAGTGATGGATAATCTTATAGTTTTACTGAAAACATTGTAATTTGGTTTCCCTTGTAGCAACAAAGGCAGCAGTATAGGCTCTCTCGATGTTGTCTTTACCAATTTTGTGTATAATTTCTGTTTCTCTACTTGGAGGCACAACTTGTTTCTGAATAAGAATATCATATAATTGTTTGCATGTTGTTGTGAAGGGATGTATCTTTTCGGTACATTCAATAATGTTGTTAGGGGTGCATTTTTTTCCATTGTTTTTTATTATATCTTTCCACTTTTTAGGTATGGCCACTCTTATAGAGTTGTATTTCATTATTTGCTTTGAATCCATGGTTATACCATATAGATTATGTAAGTCATTGATTGTTAGAAATGATCCATCCCCATACAACAAATCATTTACACAAATAATGCCAGCATCTATCCAGCTTTTGTAAAACACTGGTACATTCTCGACTAAAATATACCTATTATTCCACAGGACTTGTGAGCATATCTGTCTGTGTGTTTTTGGTTCATAATGGATAATTTCTTCCCAGGCAGTTACAATATCTTTGTAGAATGGTGGCATGTCATTAAGATTTAACAGTGAAGTGGAGTAATTACATCGGAACAACAAGAAGCCTCCCCATCTTGCAAACAAGTGTTCTTTTTCTTTTGACGGGTCAGTTATAAATCTTTTGATCCATATAGCTTTTAGAGTTTTGTTCATTATATTAAAATCAATCATTTTAAGCCCACCTTGACATTTGTTGCCAATCAGTTGCTTCATTTTTACTTTTGGAGTTTTTTCTCGCCAGATGTACCTGAATACATATCCATTTACTTGTTTTACAAAATGGGTAGGGTAGTGGTTTATCTTGTCTTTCTTTATTTGAGCCCATCCAGAGAGCTTTGAATCTGTTTTTCCGTAATTCAAATCGAGACCACTGCATTTTTTAAACCGATTTAAAGTATCTTCTGCAGTGCAGAAGCTATATCTAAGAGTAACGATGTCATATCGTCCGCGTACATGGATAATTTTTTGTCCTGTAATACAATTGTAGACCGTTAATGTTTACGTCAGCTCTAATAGCTGAGGCTAACATTTCAACACTAATTATGAACAGACTGGATACAGTGGATCTCCCTGTCTTACACCTCTATTAAACCAAGGAGATATAAAGCCATTATTAAGCACACAACTTTTTATATCTGCATCTTGTCATGACTCAAAGTTTAGACTGAGACTGTTTGTACTCTCCAAGCAGAGGTTTGGGTTTAGAAACTACTGTTGATCTTACGAAAAAATGGCTACCCAATCAGCAAACGTATATAACTTCAGATTATTATAATATATGGGACAAGTTTACAAGTGCCTCTGTCAGTTCCTGAATACATGGGACCGGTGCTTGGTGAGGATGTGCTTGGAAGACTTAACTGCTGTCTCTGGATAGAATTAGTTCCACTGGATTCTTGTCCTACAATTTCCATGTGGCCATAATCAGCCAGCAGAAACTCCCATATTCTCCCATTACATGATTTCCTTCTCAGAAGTTATACAGTAAGAATCAAACTGCATTATTTTTGCATACAGATTCAATACTCCTTTTTTATTACTGTAGTCACAATTTAGGCATTGTCTATGGTCAGTATTAAAGTTAAAACTTGAACATCCTGATGGGTACACATGTAGTAAGTTAGTTTCTTTGCAGCCTGCTAAGACAATGGTCCCTTCATCCACACATCATATTCCCTATGGAGTAAAGCTACCCCAGAGTGGTACCCATGACAAACCATCATTCCTGCCCTGGAGGACACAAGGAACACTGTCTTGTCACAGTTCTTCTTGAGTTTCAAAGTTTTTTCTGCTTTCTGCGACTGTTTTTTTAACAAAATGTCAGCCGCAATCAGTAGTTTGTTGGAGATTGAAAACAAGCGGGAGAAATGGTTACAAGTGAAAACCCGTCTGCCCTTGATGTTGCGCAAACTTTTACCCTTTGAAGAGGTGAAATCTGCAAGCAAGCCAGGTGCTCTTGAAACAGCCAGGGCAGATCTACAGAAGTTGTACAAGTAAGTAACACACTTTATGTCATACCTGAGCTGTAACATATAACACAGATGTCCCAGGTGGGGTGATATTTTGGGATATTGGATTCTACTTGTGTCACACAGGCCTCCATTGAATTTTAATACACTTTGCTTATTGAGGCCTCTGTACAAAATTCAAATACCGGATTCAGATATTGGAATGGGCTTTTACTGTTGTTAACACAGTTTGCTCAAATTTAAAGACTTCTGGCACGTCATACATTATGACATGTGTTTTCTCGTGTCGGCATGCCATACACTTGGTGTAACAGTAACACTGAAACAGTAGGCAGGATGACAAAACAGACCTGTATTATCCATTCATTTATGAATCTTTAGTATTATTGGTCCCTTGGTTAATTGGTGACTAATTTCCAAGGGAGCCCTTATCCAGTGGACTTTTTAGTTTGCAACATTAAGAAGTTAACTATTTGGATTGAATTTAACTTTCTCCTATTATTCTAAAATAATGAATAGGCGCTGGGCCATTAAAAATCACCCCAGTAGACGAGTCTGCCAAGAGGCCAGCACACCTGATGATGATGTTAGCTCCTTCATCGCCAAAATGTGGCACGAGATATTCACTGCCACAGAGGACAAGGTATGTCTTTGTTCTGCATACATCCATACAACATGTCTGCTTCAAAGTTTGTTACGTAACAGTGTCTTAATAAATTGAGGTACTGCTCTCAACTTATGTTGTACATGCCATATCATAATTTTCAAAATGTTATTAAGTTGGAATTTCACAGTGACCCCTTAGCTTCCTGGCCAGTCTTTATCTATTGATACCTTTATACATGTATTATTGTTTTTTACAGCTTTGACAAGGAATTATTTGTTTGTTTATTTGTTTATTTATTTGTTTATTTTGATTTCTCACTAAGTGAAAGGGAGGGCAAAACACATATACAACATCAAAATTATAGTAAACAACAACAATTATAGCATATATATGAATATATATGAATATATATGAATATATATATATATATATATATATATATATATATATATATATATATATATATATATATATATATATATA